CCCCCCCCCCCCGTTTTATTAGAGCAGCTTATTCATTGCTCTCTGAGGCCTTGTTTTGCTGTGAGTGGGGGTGTGTGTATTTAATCCCGGGAGCTGCCCCTTTTCCATTTAACCTAGGGTGTAATCAAGGAGCGAAATGTTCGGCTGGGACTGGAAAACTGAAGGTTTCAGACCTTGAGTATGAAAGTCACTCATGGGGCGACTGTTCTCTCTCAGATGCACCTACCTCGCAGGGCTGTTGTGAGGACCGTGTGAAAAGGACGAGAGCCATCTTGAGCTCCATTGTGAAAATACAACGATGGGGAGAGGAAAAAAGAAAGGGCCTCAAACTTTTTCAGAGCAAGTAGACTTCAATTCTGCTTAGATCCTTCAGGGGAAATTAGTTAAAGTTTGCATTCCTCCCCCCCCCCTTTGAGCCAACTGACTCCTGCCCACCCAGTAAAAAGGTACAATCTGTGGGTCAGAATTATAACCACCAAACACGTACCTTTTGGCCTGGAAGCCCAACTGGAAGGGGGGGGGGAAACAGCCCTCGCCATCCCATAAAAGGATTGGCAGGGAAGGGAACTCTTTTGGCTGGCGTTGCTTGTCGGATTTTAATCTACAACTGCATAGCCTACAACTAATAGCCTATACGATATGGAGGTATCAATTATTCTGTAGGAACTGGTGAGAACTTCATTTCCACCCGGGTTGATGTGAATGTACCAAAAAGTGTGAGACCTGAATACCAGGAGGAGCCAGACTGGGGAACCGGCTCGTCCCTTCTTCTCGCGGTGCCCCTGAGAGAAGATCGAAGCCCCTCCTCTGCAGGGGGCATTGCTTTTCGCTTACGTTTTCACGTAGGGATCGGAGTAGCCGTTGGCATCCATGGCAGCCAAATGGGCGCAGCGGACGATGCCCACCAGCAAGGCCTGCTTTGGGGAGCTGTATTTGAGAGAGACGAGGATACGGCCACGCTCCTCCAGGGACTTGTCTTCGGTTTTGTCTATCTGCGGGGAGAGCGACAGAGGTATGCAGAGAGAAAGATGTAAGCACGACCGAGCCGCCTGCCTGCCGGGGGTGGCAGCTAAAGGCAGCTGGGAGCGCCCGCCAGCAAAGGGAATGGCAGGAGGGCCAGAAAGAGCGAGAGCGAGAGCGAGAGCGAGAGGCGCTGATTAACTGCAGCCCAAACTCCTGGCATGAGCTGGCCCCTCTCCCTCATCCACCGTTGGCCTCCGGCCTCCACCAGGATCATAGGAAGGAACCGTATAACGAGCCAGATCGTTAGTGCCCATCAAGCGCAGCATCATCTCCAGGGGTGGGCAGCAGACCCCGCGGACTTTCCTGCATGCAAAGCAGGTGGGCCCTTCCGCTGTTCTGGCAAAGGATGATTCCAGTCCTTACATTTCCCAAATAAGGTCTGATATAAAGAGGAAGCTGCCCTGTACCGACTTCCCCTCACCGAGTTTGTACAGTATTTCCTACCTGGAGATGCAGGGGATCAAACTTGGCATCTTCACAGGCACAAAACAAAGATTCCAGTCCTCAAGGTTCTGACAAACGTCTTGCTTTGTCTAGAAACCCAAGATACTGCCTTCTGCCGACCTTGACTGCTGGCCTCTCTCTCTTTCTCTGTCTAACTCAACACCTCTCTCCAGGATTCGAAGCAGGGGATCGTTCCTGCCCTTACCTGAAGATGCTGGGGATGGAACCCAGGACCTGCTGCATGGGAAGCACAGCCTCTGGCACTGAGCATCATCCTCTCCCCAGGCAGGGGCTTGCCCCAGGGGGTACCAGGATTCAGGGCATTATAAAATCTAGAGGTGGAGAATAAATGGCAGCGCCTCCCGCCCGTATTCCTTCTCCTTTTTTCAAAAACAGATCATTTCTCTCTTTTTTTGGGTGGAGGGGAGGCACATTCCTTAAACCTTTTGGGGGAGGGGAGTGTTACCACTTGTTCCAGGCGCCAAAAGGGCTCTGCCTCTCCCCATCACAGCTTGCTCAGGTCACCAGATGAGGGCCAAATGAAACCGGCATTCGTTTCGGGTCAACCTCTGGGCTAGAGACACGACCGCCGAACCTCCAGGCCCATTGAGGAGGATGCCGTCTGTCCGTCTCTCCCTCTTTGTAAACGGGTTCGAAATATCCCCCTGGGAATTGGAGGGGGGGGCAAGATGGCCCAGAAAAAGAGCTGGCAGAGCACTTTAAGAGTTGTGATGAGAGCCACAAAGCCCAGCAGGCAAAGCAAAGCACAGAGGCCAGAGATGTGGAGAAATTAGGGGGGGGGGGGAAGCACCATCTGTTGAATTCCAGCCTGTTGCACCACAAATTAAATCCACCAAGGTGCTGCTAGTCTGGTGAAATGGGGAGCATGTGTTTTGGCCAAGGGCGGGGAAGAGTGGGCGAAGGAGAGGAGAGCTACCCAGGCTTTTCGCCTGCCTGATCAAGGCTTTCCTGCAGCTGGCCGTGGGGGGAAGAGGGGGCCCGCCTTCCTCGTGACACGTTCCGGCTTGTTAGCGCCTTGTTACTCTTTCTTTGCTCAAAGCCTGCTGCCCGCTTCCTCCTCGTCCCCTGGGAGCCAGGCTGCCTCTCCTCCCACGCGGTTCTCTCTCTCTCTCTCTCTCTCTCTCTCCTAGAATTGATAATCAGAGCAGCTTGCAAACATGCCTTTCCCCCCCCCCCTTCTTTTTTAGGAAAGGAAAGCTAAAGTGGCCATAACTGGCTAATTGCAAAGGGCCGTATGAGCAGCTGTGCAGTTGGAAGGGGACGACGATGAGGGTCCGTAACCTGATAGTCAGGTGTGGTTGGTCAAGTCATGGGGACCCTAACCCGTTAGTCACCTTTCGCGTGGAGGAGCTTCCGAGCTCAGAAAGCCTCCTTTAGGGAAAGGCTAAGGGGATTCTGAGCTGGAAATCTCACCCCCCCAAAAAAAGCCCCCCAAACCAGCCTCCTCCCCCCCGGCTCTGCCCTCTGAGGGCGGCCCTAATCCGCTGCGACAGACTATGCGCGAAAGCCGGCAGCTTCACTCACCGGTAGTTGTTTCTCTAGACAGATGTTGAACTTCTTGGTCTGGTTGGGCTTCAGCTTCTTTAATGGGATCCTCGTTTCCCCAATGAACTCGTTATGGCGGAACTTGTCCTCGTCACAGACAGAAACTCTGAAGGTAAATGAAGGAGAAAAATGGGGTGAAGAGGCAGGAATAGCAGTAAATACAGGAGCGGGTTGTAACGGCATCGAGTCCAACAAGCGCACCAGGTTGAAGGCTGGCGCCTGCCCCTTGACCTTGAATTCTTAAATAATTGGAACCAATTAATGTTCAGCCACTGAGAGACTCTCATAAGCAACTTAATTTGTCAATCAGTTCATTCAGTTTGACTTCCACCAGCATGCATCAGAAAGGCGCTCCTGACTCACTGTGTTGTGACAGTCGGCTTCCTTCTCAGCCGCTGTGAGGACCGCAGTTGAACGCGGGAGGAACGGAGAAGCCTCAACAAGGGCGAAAAGATGTCACCCTCCCTTCCCTCATCCTTTGATCTGGGTGGCAAGCAAGAAGGCACCAAGGGGGCCACAGCCGCCTAGGCAGGCGGCTCGCCCCCAACGAGGCTACCCCGAACTTCCTCTTTGGATCCAGAAGATCTCCCCGGCTCGGCTGGATCTGGATGTTCCCAGCCCTCTGGCGGGATCCTTGGCCCAGCCTAGAAAGAGCACTGGGGAGCCACCAGCAGGTCCTCGTGAACTCTCCTCGCCTTCTCTCTAGCGCACCAGAGGGGGGAAAAGACTGTTCTGCCCTGGGACGAGATGAGATGGTCGCATGCCAGGTTGAGCTACCCAGCCTATCTAAGGGAAGGCCAGGCTTAAAAAAAAAATGAGCCTTCGTTAATCCCACTGGCTTTCTCTAATAGGCTTTTCAAAACGACTCCCTCTTCTGTTTTTCTCCCGCAGGTGGGGAAAGAAAAAGCCCTTTATCATCTTTGCCCACAAAGCCCTTTTTGCAGAAGGAGATTCATTAAGGCGCTCCTTATTAACAGAAGCTCAGGGTGGGTGGGTGGGAATAAAAGAGAAATAAAGGACAGGAGAGGGAATGAAAAGTGTTAGAAAAGGGAATGGGCCTTATTGGAGGGGCCGAAAGACTCCAGCCAAGCTCAGCTAGAGAAGACGGGGCGTTTGTCCTTGGGAAAAAAATTATACAGTGTGCAGGTACGAGGGGGAGAGGGAGAAAAGGAAGGGGGGGCTGGAGATGCCATTTGCACCCCAGACAGAAAGGAAGCGCCTTCTTCCAAGGCTGACACCAGGAGTAACTATATATTGTAACCCACCTTATAAAAGAATTTATGAAACCACGGAGCCGAAGGAGGGAGGAGAGGATAAAATTCATCCACCACTTAATTGACTTTTTATGAAACTCTTAGGTACAGATGGAGCGCTTCTCTACAAATCAACTGTGGCATTGACATGCAAGGACTGCCTAAGATTTTTTGCTGCCTGAGGTGGAGCAAGAAAGGGGGAGCCGCTCTGGCCCTCTGGGCCCCCAAACCCAGGGGCCCCGGTCGCTGAAGATATTCAAGCACCTGTACCATAAAACCTCACACGGGCCCTTTGTCCCTGGGACACGAGAAGGCAGTCCCAATAAATGACTGCATGTACAAATCCGCTGTCTGTAAGTATGGAAATGTTACAATTTATGGAAGGATCTCCCAGGCCTTCCCTGGGGATGCCAGGGGTTGATCCCAGGTATCCTCCTCCATGCAAAAAAAGAGAGGTGCCTGCGTAATATGGAGAAAGGTTTGATGCCATTGTGAGCACCAGTCTCGTGAAATGTCCCGAGAGGAGAAGGCTCCCTGGAAATGATGCCGGGAGAAGCTGAGGCAACAGGAAAAGAGGAGGAGGAGGAGGAAGAAGGACCCCAGAAAGGCAGCCACAGGCTTGCGTTTGCAAGACCTCTTGATGGCCGGAGGTCAGTTACTCATAACGTGTGAAGAAATGTGAAGGACAGAGAGGACAGAGCTTCTTCCTACTGGGGGAATACGCAGCCTTCCAGTTTTTGCTTGACTGCATCTCCCATCATTCTGCTCCCCTGGGATGGCAGCAGATGGGAGGTGTAGTCCAGAGGATCGGCAAGTCATCTGGAGAGAGCCACAGATGTTTTTCATACAGAAAAACCACAGGCCCTTTGAATGCTGGCAGGGCCCCCACCTTTATCCGATGAATAATACAGGCCGAGTTCAGATCTCAGAGGGAGCAATCTTTGTGGGTCGGGAAAAACCATTCACCCACCCATCCCTTGATGGAATAAATTTATGATATAAAGCAACTAATAATAAAGCCCTGTAAATTCAAGGCTGGCAATCCCGACTTCCCTTAGGAAGCGGAAGAGGTCAAAAGATGGTGGTCCTGCTTATCTAACGACTGAGAGGCAAGATGTAAAAGCCGGGGAGGGAGAGAGAGAGAGAGAGAAGGCTCTCGGCCACCTTTCCTCACCCTGGACTGTATAATTTCCAGCCCAGGGAAAGGGAGAGTGAGGGCCCCCGGTCCGATTATGCCCTGGTGCCATTATCTACCGCAAACAGGCAGTGGGAAAGCACCGGGTGGGGAAAAGCAAAGCGCCAGGTAGCTGGGGAAAAGGGGGGCGTTTCATCTGAGTGTGCAGACAGCTGGACGGAGCTGATAGGAAAGCGCGGCTTCTCGGCAGCTGCTCCCAGCCGCGATCCAAGGGTAGCCGGCTGGCCGTCAGGAACCCAGGGGAGAGCTGAATGGCCCGTGCTAGGAAACAGTGCTTGAAATGGAGGAGTGGGAAACCCCACACCCACACAAGCTGGATTCTGGCAAAGAGGAAAAAAAACTGGGAGGAAAGCATTTCAGACCAAAATGAGAGCTGACAATATTTCTGGGCCGTGTGGGAGGGGAAAAAAGCCTCTGCTTCTCTTCAGGTTCCGGTGCTGCTTGTGGGAGGTTTGTTTTCCTCTCCCCTCCTCATCTGCTTTTCCTTTCGTACCCTCTCTGTTCAGATTCTAGGCTAGAGGAACAAGGGGCTTCAGCCATAGAGCAGGGAACAAGCACTTTAAAGAACAAGAAATCAAAATGGCCTTGACTTCTGTTCCATGCGGGATCACCAGCCAAAGCCTCCTGGCCATCCTGCATTTCACTCGATGAAGGGTTTTCTGGATGGCTGGGATGTGAAGCCGACGACAGAACCCCAATAAAAGATTGGGCTATGAAAGGAGAGATGGAGGCAACGCAGGAACTCACGTCTTGCTTCTCAGGGACTCCAGTCTCCAGTGGCCACTTTACAAAATCCATTATCTTCGGGGGGGGGGGGGAATAATGTACACACACACGCTGTTTCACACAGATCTAAGACTTGGGCCCTGTCTTTGCATGTGCATTAGTTAAAATAATAACCCCTTCGAGGGTCAAAATCCAGTCTGCAGTGCTTTCTGGGCAAGTCTGTTTTTTCAAGCTGCCTGTGGGGACCAGGGGAAGAATTTTTATTTCCAATTCCATGTGGAAGTCAACACACCACTGTCCTTTAGGGGGACTTCGCTGCATTTTGTGACATGAAAATGTGCATAAGGGAACATTCTGCACAAAACTTATAGCGAACCCGCATCTGCATAAAGAAGAGTACGCGGATGGCCCAAGCAGGCTTTGAGAAAGGATTGTAACCTGATGCAGATGATGGAGATGAACGTGGGAAAGGGCACAACGTGGGAATGGAGAGATCCAGGTATTCCTTCTCTAATCTCGACTCTAGAAACACCCCTTTTGACCACGAGATTCTTTCTGTCTCCCAGCGTGGCCACCTCCGTCTCTCTTCCCCTCTCGTGATCACCTTCGCGGGCAACCAAGATGGAAGACAGAAATTGGACATTTGGACCCACGTTGCAAATTCAGTCGGTGCCACCATGGACACCAACTTTTGAGCTGGGTCAACGTCGACTGATCCAAACTTTGTAAGAGGGCGGTGAGAAGCCGAGGGGAGGTAATTAGCCCACTTCTCCAAAGGATGCTCCCGGTTGCCTTCAAGACTTTCTAGGGAAATTAACGCTCTGAATCATTCGAGTCATATAGTCAATTAGCTCCGAAGATTGAACTGTTAAGGTGTCGATAGAAACTGGGTTAACGGGACAGCCGCGACACGGAGAGGCAGTCAACGACACGATTGGGCATCAAGTAATTGGGTGCTGTTTACGTCCTTGGGCAGGGCCGTGTGAAGCATAACTCTTTACTTTCCTACTTTGCAGATGGAATGAAATTCGTTAGCTCTAATTACTTTCTTAAAAGACATGTCTGGTTGCTGCCATCCACTGGCGTCAGGTAGAAAACACTCCCCCTCCATCACTTCAGCACCCGCAAGGTACACAGGAACCGTATCAGTATCCCTCCTCTGTCACCAAGAGAGGCCACCCAGCAAAGTAACTACAAAAACAACTCTTAAAAGTTATAGGTACACTACCCAAAGGAGTGATGTTATCCCTTATTATGTTACATCTGTACTGTAACTTAATTGCAGTGGTGCCCCGCATGATGACGATAATCCGTCCCATTGAAATTGCTGTTTAGCAAAATCTTCATCATGCAAAATCTATTTCCCCATTGGAATGCATTGAAACCCGTTTAATGCGTTCCAATGGGGAAAATACCTTGTCGTCCAGCAAAGATCGCCCATAGGGAAGCCATTTTGTGAGCGCCGATCAGCTGTAAAAATGGCTGTCCTGCGAAGCATGGGTCCGGAAAGCACAGGGCAGCCATTTTGCGAAGCCGACATCAGCTGTAGAAATCCTCGTCTTGTGAACAAATGGTTCGCGAAGCACGGACCAAATTGTCGTTAAGTGAAAATCACCCATTGGAATGACTGTTTTGCGAATCGCTATAGCGACTGCAAAAAGTCATTGTTATGCGGATTCATCGTTTAGCGGGGTCGTCGTCTTGGGAGGTACCACTATACAGCTTTGTTATTGAGAAAGAGATTTAACTACAAGTAACTTGTAACTAATTACTTCCAGTTCAGGTTCCAACGGAAGGCACACCACAGGCGCCTAGATCAGAAACAGACTTCTGATTATCTCACTTAAAGGTAAAGGTAAAGGTTTCCCTTGACATTGAGTCCAGTCGTGTCTGACTCTAGGGGGCGGTGCTCATTCCTGACTGCAAGCTGTA